CCTCGAGGTGACCCCACAACCACCACCACCCCAGGATGACCCCACAACCACCACCACCCCAGGGCGACCCACACCCCCATCATCATCCTAGGGTGACCCACACCACCATCACCAGCAGGTGACACCACCACCATCACCCAAGGGTAACCCACACCATCATCACCCCAGGGTGACCCCACCACCACCATCACCTCGAGGTGACCCCACCACCACCACCCCAGGGTAACCCACACCCCCATCATCAGCCTAGGCTGACCCACACCACCATCACCAGCAGGTGACACCACCACCATCACCCAAGGGTAACCCACACCATCATCACCCCAGGGTGACCCCACCACCACCATCACCTCGAGGTGACTCCACCACCACCCCAGGGTAACCCACACCACCATCATCCCAGGGTGACCCCACCACCATCATCCCAGGGTGACCCCACCACCATCACTATGGGGTGACCTGCACCACCACCATCACCCAGGGTGACTTGCACCACCAAGCAGGGAGCACCCATGGGTGCTGTGAGTGGGGGCTCACCAGTGACCCGTGGGGGGGACAAAGTAGACGCATCCATGGACCCGGGTGTCCGGGATCTTCCTCTTGCGGGTGATGAGGATCTCCTCACGCAGGTACCTCTCGTACTGCTCGTTGATGTATTTGATGATGGGGTCCCAGCTGGGGACGAGGAGTTGGGGGACAGCATCTGAGCTCGAACCTCCTTGAGAATTCCCACCCACCAAGCTGGGACGCTGCACCCAGCTGTGTCCTACCAGTTCTCGTTGTTGATCTGGTCCCCGAACCCCGGCGTGTCCGTCACCGTCAGCTTCATCTTCACACCCTTCTCCTCGATGACTATGGGGCAGAGATATGGGTCAGCGGGGACCGAGCACCGGGGTCCCCTGCTTCTCCCGGAGGTTGGTGGGACACCCCATGGTGGTGACCTTACCGTGGGTGACGGACTGCAGCTGCACCGTCTTGGGGATGCGCTCCTCCTGGCCGGGCTGCGAGGCTTTGCGGCTCACCTTGGACTTGAAGAGGGTGTTGACCATCGTCGACTTCCCCAGCCCGCTCTGCCCTGCGGGGGAGGCCGACAGCTCCATAAATTAATTCCCCCCAGGGCAATTAACACCTCGGTATCCATTTGGGAGCATCCCAGAGGTTGGCATAGCTCAGGTTTATCCCCTAATAAATATATTCCCCGGGATGATAACACCTTGGTACCCACCTGGGAGCATCCCAGAGGTTGAAATAGCTCCAGTTTATACCCAGTAAATTTATTCCCCAAATTTATTCCCCATTGACACCTATTTGGGAACACCCCAGAGGTTGGCGTAGCTCAGGTTTATCCCCTAATAAATATATTCCCCGGGATGATAACACCCTGCTACCCACCTGGGAGCATCCCAGAGGTTGGGATAGCTCCAGTTTATCCCCACTAAATTTATTCCTCAAGGTGGTAACACCTTGGTACCCACTTGGGATCATCCCAGAGGTTGAGATAGCTCCAGTTTATCCCCACTAAATTTATTCCCCAAGGTGGTAACACCCTGCTACCCACCTGGGAGCATCCCAGAGGTTGAAATAGCTCCAGTTTATACCCAGTAAATTTATTCCCCAAATTTATTCCCCGTTGGCACCTATTTAGGAACACCCCAGAGGTTGGGATAGCTCTGGTTTATCCCCCAGTATGTTCCCAAAGGTGATAACACCTTGGTACCTACTTGGGAGCATCCTGGAAGTTTGGATGGCTCTGGCTTGTCCCCCAATAAGTTTATTCCCCAAGGTGAGAACGCCTCAGCATCCATGTGGGAACCCAGTAAATTTATTCCCCAAATTTATTCCCCATTGACACCTATTTGGGAACACCCCAGAGGTTGGCGTAGCTCAGGTTTATCCCCTAATAAATATATTCCCCGGGATGATAACACCCTGCTACCCACCTGGGAGCATCCCAGAGGTTGGGATAGCTCCAGTTTATCCCCACTAAATTTATTCCTCAAGGTGGTAACACCTTGGTACCCACTTGGGATCATCCCAGAGGTTGGGATAGCTCCAATTTATCCCCCAATAAATACATTCCCCTGGATGGTAACACCTTGGCATCCATCCATCCATCCATCCAGCACCTTGGATGAGCTCACCCACCAGCATGGCTGTACCAGCAGGTAGGGGACGTTCTTCCTCTTCGATTTTTTGATGCTTAAATCCCTTTTAAATCCCTTAAAATCCCCTAAAAGCCTCGTGTCCCCCAGCACGCTGGCATCAGAGCCAGGATCCCCCCCCCCTGCAGCGGGAGCGAACCCGGCGGCTCACCCACGACCATGATGTTGAACTCGAAGCCCATCTTCATGGTTTTGACCTTCATCTGGTCCAGCACGGCTTCGATGCCCACGTAACCGAAGAGCTGGCAACCCGCCGGGCCGGGCGCCGCGGTGAGGGGCATCTCCTCCTCCGGCGCGGCCGGCGGCTCCATGCTGTTCTCCTCGGGCTCCAGGCTGTTCCCTGTGGGGGTGGGCAAAGGCGGGGTGAGCCCGGACCCCCCCTTCCCCCCTCCGAAACCCCCCTCCTGGCCACCGCCGTTGCCCCAGCAGCAGCCGCCCCGGCGGGCACGCAGCCCCGGCACATTCCTGGTAGCCGGTGAGGCTCGGCATGGCAACCAGACATGCTGGCCCCCCACAGATGGAGGGGGACAGGGAGGTGGCATCCTGGGGGGTGGCCGTGCCACCGGGCAGCCCTGTCCAAAGCTCTGCCATGCCACCGTGCTCTGGGAGGTGGTGGCACGGGGCATGGTGGCCACCACCAGGGTTCTTCATCCAGCCACGCTGCCACCCACCTCCTCCAGCACCCGCACCAGCCTCCGTGCAACTTGTTGGGGGGGCAGGATGTGCCCACCCCACGTCAGACCTGGGGGTGTTGGGGACAGGCACGGGGTTCACCCGGGGGACTGTGCCCAGAGCGTGCCCCAGCTTGGAGGCCACCAGAGCCCCCTGCCCACCCCAGCCCTTTGTGTGGCAGCTTGGGGAGCCCTCAAGCCCCTTCCTCCTCCTCCTCCTCCTCCTGCTGCCCAGCACGGCCATGATTGTTCAGCTCCTACCTCAGCGCCGCGGTGCCCCCGCTCAGCACCCCGCTATGGTCGGGGGGGGTCCCCCAGGCCCCATCAACGTCCCCGTCCCCATCGGCGCCGCAGCCAGCCCCCCGCCTGGCACCAAACCGGGCTCTGGCGAGGCTGCCGCTCCCACACATGACCAGCATGGCAATATGGCAACATCCCTCCCCCTCTCCCTCCTCCC